TTTTGGACGATTACTATAACTTACCCTACGGGAAGTTAATAATCATAAGGAATGGATCATGAATTGAACAATTTTCCAATTAATTGAGCAGGAATGATTCGTTTAATTACTAAACAGAAGCCTTTGTATAATAATATGCTAATTAATTGTTAAACCTGTATTTTAATGCTATTATTTCCGCACTACTATTTTGGATTAATTTGGTATATTCCCATATACAGTTGAACAATTAGGTGTCATCAATTTGCAAAGTTTGGAAGTTTACAGGTGCAAATCCGCTTAGATAATGGAGAATGTTAATCTGATTTCACAAAGTTTCAACTGCATCTGAATTATTTAGGATAATTGACATATGTATAATTTGCATAGACAATAATGAAGGGAAAATATTAGTTTCCCGAGTTATTGATTAATTAAACATCACTGAGCTAGCGTATTGTTGGACTTTTCCACATACAATTCATTGCTGAATCAGTTCTGAAAAAGATTTAAAAAAGAATACATGAATGTAATCAATTTGCGAATCAAATACTCAAAGTAATAATTTAAATAAAAATTTAATTTAAGCTTAGTTAGCTTTTGAAAATATTAATTTCAAATATATGCGAACAAATACGAGTAAAATTACGTACCGTTGAATTTAACATGGTCAAATTAAATAAATTACTCAAATACAGTTTTGCTACTAAAATATCTAGTTATAAAAGCTTATAATTCATATAAGAGAAAGGATAAAATTTAATATTGCCAGCTAACTGAAAGTTGTTCTAATTAACTGAGAAAACGTGTACAATAGTTAATTGTAATATAATGTGATATTCGAATGTCACATTATATCACAATTCGTTAAATTTCAATATTGAATATTCAATTGTAGTATAATCTGTTTGTTAACTATGAAAACATGATTATGATATGACAAATGAGTAAAAATTATTTTTGTTTAAATTACTTACAAAAAACATGTTTATGATAAATTTTTAAAGAATTAATTTCTTTTTGTACTTTTGTGTGAGAAATGAATAAACAAGTAACTTAAAATAAGCAAAACTAAACAATCGTTTATGCATTTTAATGAAAAGCAGATTAAATTAATTTTTATTTAAATCTTTAAATTTTTAATTAATTTTAATTTAGATCTGTGGTAAAACAGTGTTCAAAAAATTGAATTCCTGAAAGTTTTGCAGTAACATTATCATATTTCAGATCTGATCTGATTCAGAGTTAGTTATTCCATACCGAGCGAGCTTCAATTCTAGATATAAATATAATATGCTTCATTATGATTGAATTTAAAACACAGAGATGTAGTTTTTTTACAAATACATCTTGTTATTTTAATTATATTTATTTATTGAAATAGAAACAATTGATGGCAATGTAAAATATCCTTATGTTGATGTATGTATAACGATGAACATAATTATATGTTATATAATACAATATATTATATCATATTCCACATAATGCAATAAAATATTTGAAAAAAAAAACTAGTGGGGCGCATGGCGTTGTGCCTTAAGGCAAATTGCTGGAACTCTCCGTACCATTTTTTTTTAAGAACATTTTTGAAATAAACGTACATCGAAAAAATTAGAATTTTGAAAAACTATAAATTTTTGACAAAAACCTACTTATTTAAAAAAAAAGACTTTTTAAAGAAAAATTTAATTTGAAATATTTTGGAAATTCTGAACTTTTTACAAAATATCAAAGCGCGTAAGCGCCGCGTAGCGGTCTAACGGATAAACATTGATACGGAACCCTTGATATTATCAATATCAATATATAAAAACGATTACTAGAACATAAGATAATAGTTTTGTATAAATTCTGAGATTTTAAACTTTTTTACTGAAATTTTATAGCAATAAGATTTGGCATTGGTTTTGAGAGAAAGGGATTTTGATAGCAATATATTCTTCTTATCTTAAACATCTTCATGTTACATTTATAATATCAAAATTCAATTAATACACAATTAAATACATTAATAAAAGGTGAACCACTGGGTTTTCCTTTTGAAATTCTATGTTATTTGTCAAATTAATTACTTAATGTCATTTTATATAGACAGATTGTAATTCATAAGAAAATAAAAAACATATATTTATAATCGATAATACTTTTTCAGAATTTTATGCAAATTTTTTAATTAAAAGTAATTGAAGTAAAGATTTTTAGAAGATCTTCATTTCCTTCCTGTAGGGCAAAGTTAGAATAATTGCAAAAAAATTGAAAATGAAAATTTTTATATATCTTTACGTTTCAAAGGTTTCTCAATATTTTGGCATACCTTAGAAAAAATTGATGTATGTGTGTGTATGTGTGTGTGTGTGTGTGCGGATACGAATTTTTGTCGACGATTTCGAGAACACCGATCAACCGATTTGAATAATTCAAATAACATTCGATTCGTATTCATAAGGAGACGTGCTAATTAGTTTTGTATACATAGAAATGTAAACAAAATTATTACTTATTGTTAAAATCTCTATAAAATATATGATAATTTGATGTGCATATGT